GCAAAACTATTATAGAAGATTTACAACGAAGCACTGCAAAGTTTACCGGAGAACATCGACAAGATGTTCTTAAATGGTTGAAAACTATCGAAATTAAATTTGATACGGCAGACATTCCAACGGCTAAGAAGTTTGATTTAATTCCACAATTACTAGATAAAGGAGCACTTGATTGGTTTCAAGAAAATAAAACGAAGTTTAACAATTCCTGGAGCCTCTTCGTTGAACATTTCAAAAGAACATTTGATTCTCCAAACCGGGCTAGAATCGCAATGCAAAAGCTTAATTCTTACACTCAATCACCATACCAAGATGTTCGCAGTTTCTGCAGTGAAATGCGGAAACTATTTTCGGAAGCTGACCCGCAAATGAGTTCTACGATGAAGTTAGAATTTTTATTGGCAAAAGTGAATCCTAGTTATCGCCTTGATTTATTGAAACTGAAACCAAAAGATCCAACAGAATTTGAAACAATGGCACGGGATATTGAAAACATCTATCTTGTGAATGAAGCCATTGACCAAAATACTCAGTTCAACACATCATTTTCTTCTTCAACTTCCGCTCTTCTTTCTGATGCACCTCATCCTGTTTCGTCGAATTATCAACAAACGATTCGCAATAACAATTACACTAGCACTAACCGGTACACCAGTTCGTCTCGACACAATTCCTCTTACCCCAACAAAGCTAATTATTCGCCACGATTTTCGTCCAGAACTTCATTTAGACAAGATCGAACGCCTTCGTACCAATCTTCTAATAATCAACAGCCCGGTAATTCTGTCAATGCTCGCAACACCACCCGTCAAAATCTTTTCAACTATCAATCCTCTTCTGCAACACAACAATCTCAACTACAACCACCGTTATCTACATCTAGCATTCCTCCACTTATGCCATCTTCGTCTTCAGTTTCTCCACCACTCTCACAATTGTCCCACCCTCCTGCATCAGCTGCTACTGTAATTTGCCAATGGTGTTCTCAATCCGGTCATTCAGCTCGGGATTGCCATTTTTAAGGATGGAGCCAGTGGTGGATGGTCCTGTCTCCAATACTTCACCTTCTCAACCATCCAAACCCTTTCTGCTTTATGCTAAATTAGTTGTTAATAATATTCCACTGCAAACGCTTATTGATACTGGTGCTTCTGCTACTTGCATCAGTTTCAACACCTTACAACGTATGTCTAATTTCCGTTATATTGATACAACAGCTGCTTCATTTGTACTCGCCGATGGTGTCATTCCTCTTCCAAGCAACGGTTCAGTGGAACTTTCTATGCAATTCGGTAATGAACTCATCCAATTTCGTGCTTTCGTTATTAACAAACTTTGCGTCGATCTTATTATTGGCATGGACTTTCTGATCATATTTAATGCTAACATCGATGTGAAGTCTCAATATTTATCACTGGAAATTTTTGGTCGTCGTACATCTATTCAACTTGACGATCAATTTCGTCGCCCTTTGATTCCACTTCACGCACGTCATGCTACTTTCGTTCCTCCTCATTCAACAATTGCAATCTTGGTTTCCACTCCAATTTCAGCTTTATCAGCATATTTTATTCCAACTTCCAACTTTATTGAACATCCTTATCTCTCGTCTACTCAAAAAATTGTTACCATTCAACANTCTGTGGTACGAGTATTTTGAGGGATTTTTGCTTGAAGAGAATTTTCAGAGCTTTTTTTTTGTTTGTGAGTAACAGCAGTGACAGATGCAAAATAGGAGTGTGTTGGAATGATTGATTGTTGGGTTTCAGAAGGAATTTCATTCAATAACTCTTCTTCATCATGAGCGATCTTCCAAAAACTAGCTGGTGTTCGTTCATCATTGAGTGTTTTGAGTCGACGTTTGACGTGTATTTTTAAATCATTGCGAATACCATCTTGTAAATAATCAACGATCATATGTAGCGGCATAGTTTGATCAACTTGTTTACATAAATCAATAATATCATCATAGTAGGCGTTGAGTGGTTCACCAGGTTGTTGTTTTCTTTCCTTCAGTCGTGTTTTGATAGCAGAAAGAGATGGTTTAAAGCGTTCAAGAAGATGTTGTTTTAGATCTCGCCAGGTGTTTAGATGGTCTCTATTGTTATCATACCAATTAAAGGCAGATCCTCCTAATTTAATAGTAGCGATAGAATGTACCATCGATTCGTTCAATCCAGCGAAGCTACCGATCTGTTCAACAGCATTAATAAACTGAGTAACTTTCTGATTAGGATCACCAGTAAATTTGGGTAGTTCCTTTAAAGCAGTTGTATTAAGAAGATTTTGAAAAGGATGTAGTTCCATATGGGTAGTTGGAATAGTATGTGAGGAAGTAGTTGTATCCATAGGAATAGTGTGATGTCGGATGTGCCCGTACGTAATTATATCGTGTGGTAGTAAGTCACCGGGTTGAGTGTTGCTTCGCAAATGTCTGCGTTGTTGAGACGTCGTTTTTCGGGTTTTTTGTTTTAAATAAATAGTAATGGAAAAATGAATCGTACCGAAGAGTTAATGAATGTGACAAGATTCTAATACACAGGTGTTTGCAACGTTATGTGAAGAGGATCGAGAGAAGACGGGTCACGGTACCAAATATTAAGACTATCCTGGTTCCTTCTCGATGTCTGTTTTATTTCCAGATTGAATTCCCTTAAAGCGAGTATAGGGAGTGATATATAGAGAGAAATAAAGCATCAAAGAATCCGAAATGAATAAACAAATACCGATGAGTCAAGGAGTGATACATATGACTGTAACACACTTGAATTGCAAATACATTTCACTATTAAGTTCATTTAATCAGCATACGACTTGTGTCAGTGCAAAAAGCACTAGTAAAGCACATATTGTGGATAACTTTTCATCTAAATTCAAAAACTCATCCTTAGAAAAGGAGCAACAACAAATCATACATACATGTATTGTATAAACTAAGAAATTTCGCGAAAAACGTAAGACCGAATAGAGTGGATGTGGGTGTGGGTTCTTGTAGATCAATAGACATCACACATCCATATCCACACCCATCCAACGCACTCATTCGCACAAACATATGATAATTAAACAAAAAAGTTCACATTTTGTGGTAAAATTGATATTACGCCTGGAAAAAATATTGTTTCTCAATATAATATCGATAATTCATCTAAGATAAAATACGTATGGTGGAAGAAGTTCAATATGAATCGATGTTGATTGGGTAGTAGCACCATCTTACACTGTCTTTATTCGAAATCGCGACCCAGGTCGTGTTAGGTCCTTTTTCCCCAGTTTCTTTTTTCCTTCTTTCTTCACAAAAACAAACAACTGAATCAATCAAAAACGAAAAGCAGCAAAGAATGTTGTTTCTCTCTTTCTCGCTTCTTCCATGATGAAAGTACGATCGAGAGGAAGAATAAGAATGCCATTGAGGTGTAGTAATGATATCAAAAGAACATGGAGTCTCCTTATGTCAGGAGAGACACCTTCTGACATAACACTTCCCCCAGCCAAAAGAATTGTATAGAAAACGAAAACATTGTTTCACGCAGTTGAAGCAAAGATTAGATAGGCATATTAATAATACTGGTGCAATTGACAAAAGTAATGAATAAACGTTGTGGAAACAAATCCAAATGTTTGGAATTTCTTGTGTCTTTGATAAAATGAACAAAGCTACCATATCTTAAGTTATGCAAATACGAAAAAAAATAGAATAATGATGAAGTTTAGACGATAAGAATTGCGAGAAAATGTGATGAAAAGAAAAGTACAGGCATGCTTGCTAGATTTTGATCGAAATTCCAATAAAAAGATAAGTAAGCGTTAATAAAAATGAAGACTGTAAGCGACTTCTCGCTTCTCTTGAGTGATATGTCGTTTAGATACCATTTATCTCCATTCCATTCCTCCTTACATAGTTATGCATGTTTGTATGATTGTGCATGTTTGTATCTTCTCTTGTTCTGGGAGAGGAGGATGAGAAGAGAGAGATATGTTTTTTCCTTCTTTCTTTTTGTTTTTGTTTTTTTGGTTGCTCTCGCTGAAAGAGAAAAGGTGTTTGTTTTTTCTTTTTTTGGAAAATAAAGCTCACATTTTGGTGCCGTGACCCGGGAACTTTTGATTTACCAACACATTAATCACTTATTTGAAGCTTTTTATGTCTTCGGACGGCGACGAACACCCACCTAAAGAACTTCTTCAGCCACTTACCCACTTCCAACCTCCACAATCGAACTTTACATCTTCCTACATGACAACTCAAGAATATTCAACAATTAAAAAACCATATCAAATTACTTTTTCTTCACGTGATGAAGAAATCAAATACACACAAAAGCTCTTAGAAAATTGTACAACTTATAATGGTGATGCGGAACATTTAATGTCTTGGTTAAAAGAAACTGGTGCATTCATTGTTAAAGAACGTTATCCAGAAACCGATCATCCATTTATTATTCGTCATTTACTAACCGATGATGCCCTCGATTATTATCTAGCTCATGAAGACATGATCTTCAATTTTTATGATCTTCGTAAATTATTATTACATAAACAAAATGCATTAGCGCCCTTACGTACTTTGTCATCACTTGACTCCATAAGCACTTTATCTTTAGCTGCTACACCTCCTGTTCTCGCATCTACTCAACTTCCTGCTTCTACAACTACTACTGATAAACCAACAGCTATGACAACTTATACGTGCGCCCAATCACTAGAAGATTTAACACAAAATGATATTCGCAAAACTATTATAGAAGATTTACAACGAAGCACTGCAAAGTTTACCGGAGAACATCGACAAGATGTTCTTAAATGGTTGAAAACTATCGAAATTAAATTTGATACGGCAGACATTCCAACTGCTAAGAAGTTTGATTTAATTCCACAATTACTAGATAAAGGAGCACTTGATTGGTTTCAAGAAAATAAAACGAAGTTTAACAATTCCTGGAGCGTCTTCGTTGAACATTTCAAAAGAACATTTGATTCTCCAAACCGGGCTCGAATCGCAATGCAAAAGCTTAATTCTTATACTCAATCACCATACCAAGACGTTCGCAGTTTCTGCAGTGAAATGCGGAAACTATTTTCGGAAGCTGACCCGCAAATGAGTTCTACGATGAAGTTAGAATTTTTATTGGCAAAAGTGAATCCTAGTTATCGCCTTGATTTACTGAAAATGAAACCAAAAGATCCAACAGAATTTGAAACAATGGCACGGGATATTGAAAACATCTATCTTGTGAATGAAGCCATTGACCAAAATACTCAATTCAACACATCATTTTCTTCTTCAACTTCCGCTCTTCTTTCTGATGCACCTCATCCTGTTTCGTCGAATTATCAACAAACGCTTCGCAATAACGATTATACTAGCACGAACCGGTACACCAATTCGTCTCGATACAATTCATCTTACTCCAACAAACCTAATTATTCGCCACGATTTTCGTCCAGAACTTCATTTAGACGGGATCAAACGCCTTCGTACCAATCTTCTAATGATCAACAGCCCGGTAATTATGCCAATTCTCGCAACACCACCCGTCAAAATCTTTTCAACTATCAATCCTCTTCTGCCACACCACGATCTCAACTACAACCACCGTTATCTACATCTAGCATTCCTCCACTTATGCCGTCTTCGTCTTCAGTTCCTTCACCATTTTCACAATTGTCCCACCCTCCTGCATCAGCTGCTACCGTAATTTGCCAATGGTGTTATCAATCCGGTCATTCAGCTCGGGATTGCCCTTTTTAAGGTTGGAGGCAGTGGTGGATGGTCCTGTCTCCAATACTTTACCTTCTCAACCATCCAAACCCTTTCTACTTTAAGCTAAATTAATTGTTAACCCTTTGGCTCCCGGCGACGTATATATACGTCCAAACACGATTATAAAATAAAAGTGCTTCTAGTATATTGTTTAACTTTTTTCAACGTCTTTTTATCCATTCTTAAATGATGTTAGACAGATGCCATGCATTTTTCTTTCCTCTAGACTTGTTAGTGGTACATATCTATCTTGTATTCGCTTCCTTTCGTTCTTTATGGTGACACATAGTATCTCTTATTCAATGCATTCTAGTGCAATCACTTTTCTTTCGTTCTTTTGTGTGTATTAGTCACGCTCGGCTCTGAATACTCTCCGATTAGTTCTTCTCGTTCTGTAAAATCTTGATTGTTCCTGACTTATCTAGAAAGTTCTGTCGGTTTCAAAAAATATCGTATATATATATATATATATATATACATCGTTCGAGTAATAAAAGATAATTCTCATAACGAATTAACTATATTCTTCGAATAATAATCATATATTTCAACGACCAACCTTACACATTCTTACAATGGCGACTTCCAAGAAACGACACTTGACTGATGAAGACATTGAGGAAACTATGAGTAACTCTGGATCTAATCTATCATCAGAAGATGAACTTCTAACAGCTTTTGATTACGTAACTATTGATTCTGGCGATGAAGACCTTCCAAGGGAACGACCATGGCACTGTGGAAAATTCAATCCAACTATACCGCAATTCGTTGGTGAACCTGGTATACAAAATACGATTTCACTTGTTGCAAGAACACCGCTTGATTATTTTCAATTGTTTTTTGATGAAACTATAATGAAACGTATAGTTGACGAAACCAACCGTTATTATTTATAGAATCCAGTGAGTGAGCGCCAGCACATGTCTAACTGGCAAAATTTGACTTCAGTCGAAATGTACACATTCATCGCAATCACAATGCTCACTGGACTTATTGAGAAAAATAGACTCCAAGACTATTGGAGCACTGATCCATTGCTAATTACGCCCATCTTCGGTCAGTATTTCACACGAAATAGGTATCAAGACATTCTACGCTTTATGCACTTCGCAAATAATGAGGTTACTTCCAATACTGATTGACTTGGAAAAATCAAACCAATCATAGATGATTTCAGGCGAAAGTTTGCAAATTGCGTGAATCCATCAAAGAATCTCTGCATCGATGAAAGTCTCGTGTTATGGAAGGGGAGACTTGGATTCAAGCAATATATCCCGTCCAAGCACCATCGATTCGGAATCAAATCATTTCAGCTCGTTGACTGTGAAACCAAATTCATCCTAGACTTCATTATTTACACAGGATCGGACACAGAGTATCAAATTACACCCGGACTCGGAATGAGCGGATCAATTGTCATGGAACTAATGCAGCGATATCTGAATAAAGGGCATCATTTATACATTGACAATTGGTATACAAGTCCAGCACCTTTTGAGCTCTTAAATCGTTACAAAACTGGTGCATGTGGCACTATTCGTAGAAATAGAAAAGGCTTGCCACGCCTTACGGCTAAGTTGAAAAGAGGCGAGAGTCAATATGCTCATACCGATGTTTTGCTTGCGCTCAAATGGCAGGATAAGCGAGAAGTTCATATGCTTTCAACGATTCATTCAACAGCATTCACGAATTCAAACAAAACAGATCGTCAAACTGGAGAGCGACTTCGGAAACCTGTTTGCATTGTCGACTACACCAACAACATGGGCGCAGTCGATCATGTTGACATGCAAATATCATTCTCCGAATGCATCAGAAAAACAATAAAATGGTACAAGAAACTTTTTATTCATCTCTTGGACATGGCAGTATATAATGCATTCGTAATTTACAAAATGCAGAACAATACTTCCTATCAACTATCCGATTTTTGGCTTGAAATAATTCGAGAGATTTTGACAAAGTATGAACCACAAAGATCATCTACCATAGGAAGACCATCGACAAAAGATTCTCCTCTTCGTCTAACTGCTCGTCATTTCCCATCACTCATTCCACAAACGTTGCAATCAAAGCAGCCTCAAAGAAAATGCGTCGTTTGTACATCTCATAATACTGACGTGATACACGGTATTTCTGCGCTGATTGTGATGCTCCGCTACGCATTGTCGACTGCTTCAGAGATTATCATACAAAGGTGAACTACTAAAGGGTTTTTCATACAAGAATAGTGTATTCTCCTAAAGAAATAAAGATACTTGAAAAATTTGTTATAAAAGCTTCCGATTTTCGTCATAAAAAAAGCCGGGAGCCAAAGGGTTAATAATATTCCACTGCAAACGCTTATTGATACCGGTGCTTCTGCTACTTGCATTAGTTTCAACACCTTACAACGTATGTCTAATTTCCGTTATATTGATACAACAGCTGCTTCATTTGTACTCGTCGATGGTGTCATTCCTCTTCAAAGCAACGGTTCCGTGGAACTTTCTATGCAATTCGGTAATGAACTCATCCAATTTCGTGCTTTCGTTATTAACAAACTTTGCGTCGATCTTATTATTGGCATGGACTTTCTCATCATATTTAATGCTACCATCGATGTGAAGTCTCAATATTTATCACTAGAAATTTTTGGTCGTCGTACATCTATTCAACTTGACGATCAATTTCGTCGCCCTTTGATTCCACTTCACGCACGTCATGCTACTTTCGTTCCTCCTCATTCAACAATTGCAATCTTGGTTTCCACTCCAATTTCAGCTTTATCAGCATATTTTATTCCAACTTCCAACTTTATTGAACATCCTTATCTCTCGTCTACTCAAAAAATTGTTACCATTCAACATCATCATTCATGTTTACTTGTTACCAATTCAGCTGATGTTCACCAACACATACCAGAATTTTTCTGTTTTGGTTATCTACTTAGCAACCAGGCGGGATCACCGAATTTTTTTAATCAATTCGCAGCTCTAGGTTGTCGTTACAATGCGAAGAAAAATCAACCAACCTCTTCCCATACCTTCACGCATCCTCAACTACCACAACGGTTTTTTAATGATCCAAACCGTTTTTATCGACCGATACCTTCGATAAATCGTGTTTCGCTCAATATTCTTCCTCATTTTTCTTCTTCTCAATTTCAACACACTCGAGATCTATTAGTGAACCATCTACTTGATCATGATAATAAAGACCGACTTTCGACTCTTCTTACTCAATTTTCTCAACTTTTCGACAATTCTCGCCACAACATTTCCAACATAGTTGTCGAAAACGTTTTTAATACTGTTCCGCACTCTCCACCATCTTTCCGACCTCATCGAAATCCACATACTCGTGAAGAAACACAACGTCTTATCGATGAGTTTCTCGAAGCTGGTCTTATTCAAGAGTCGAACTCCCCATATGCAGCACCCGCATTTATCGTTCCTCGAAAAGACAATCGTCCGGGTCGTCTCGTTGTGGATTATAGGGCGGTCAATAAAATTACTATTCCAGATGCTAGTCCTTTACCTCACCCCGAAGATTTATTGCAAGAACTTGGCAAGGGGTACAACTATTTTAGTCGCCTTGATTTGAAATCCGGTTATCACCAGTTTCGTATACCACCCGCTGATCGTCCAAAAACAGCGTTCGTCGTTTCTCAAGGTCATTATGAATTTCGTGTACTTTCCATGGGACCACAAAATGCACCTGCAGCATTTCAAAAAACTATGTACCAGGTTATGAAGCCCTGTCGCACGTTCTGTCATGTCTTCCTCGATGATATCATCATTTGTTCCAAATCATTCGATGAACATATCAATCATTTAAAATTGGCTTTTCAAACGCTTGCCAAAGAAAAACTTGTTCTCAACGCTTCGAAATGCGAACTTGCTGTACAACGTGTTGTCGTACTCGGTCATACTGTCTCGGATACGTCTATCGCACCAACCACTGATGCAATCCAGGCCATTTTGGAATTAAAAGAACCTCGCACACTTAAAGAGACCAACAAATTTCTTGGTGGTATGGCGTATTATAGAAAATTTGTTCCTCATTTTAGCACTATCGCTGCTCCACTACATAAAATCTCTAATTTACCCAAAAACCGACGGCATCTTTTTAAATGGACAGTGGAACATTCGAATGCTTTCCATGCTCTCCAACGTTTACTTACAACTGCTCCACTTCTTCTTCATTTTCCCGTCGACGGTTTTCCACTTCACTTAGCTACTGACGCTAGCGGTACTGCAACTGGTGGTGTTTTATTTCAAGATGTCAACGGTCAACGTCATAATCTCTTTTATCATTCAAAAGTTCTTTCACCAATTGAACAAAAATACTCGGTTCCTGAAAAAGAAGCTTTGGCAATTTACCATTGTTTACAACGTATGAGGACTTTAATCCTCGGACGAACTGTTTATATCCATACTGATCATTGCCCCATATGTGGTATGTTACAAAAACCAGTGAACAATCGTCGCATTGAACGTGTGGCCAATTTAATTCAGGAATATCGTATCGCCGAAATGAAACATATTGATGGTAAAAGTAATTGTCTTGCGGATTATCTTTCTAGGCCTTCGGATGATCCACTTTTTGATGTTGATTATGGTCTCGACAGCAAACTTCCATGGTCAAACTCATCAAATTTAACCAATCCTTGCCAGCCTTCACAGAACATCATTACTACAATGACATTTCGTCCTCGACAGAAATTTCTTTCACCAGGTGTATCCACTTTCAATCAACCCAATGAAGGTTTTGATGCGGCATCTTGTACTTCTGCAGATTCGTTTACCACTCATTCACCAATTATTACATCAACTCCCTCTCCGAATGTTTTCGATTCAAGCCAATTGTCTCATGAACAAGCTCACGATCCAGATATTCGTCGTATCATTTCTCAATTAAATCGCAGCAACCATCTTGATTCCACCTTATCTTCTTCGTTTATTATCAAAAATGGTATTCTTAACAAACTTATTACTCTCACTCCTACATCTAGACGCCGATTATCTGTACCTTATCTTCCTTCGTCGATGATACGATCTTTTCTTACTGCAATGCATGATGATCCTTTCCAAGGTGGTCATTTTTCGTTCGACAAAATGATGTCGAAAATACGTACTCGTTATTGGTGGCCTCACATGAAGCACGACGTTCACCGTCATGTTCAAGCATGTGTTCCTTGCAACCAATATAATTATTCGCGTCAAAAGAAACCTGGTCATCTTCAACCCATTCCTCCGATCGCTATTCCGTTTTCTATAATTGGAATGGATTTTTGTGGCCCATTCCTTGAATCACCTCGTGAAAATAAATACGTCCTGGTCGTCACTGATCTATTTACGCATTTCGTTACTGCTATTCCTTTACCCACCAACACTGCTGAAATTACTGCATTATCCTTATTTCGTCACATATTCTGTCGATTTGGCATTTGTTCCACTTTAATTACAGATCAAGGAACTCATTTTAATAACAATCTTATGAGAGCATTCCAACATCTCCTTGGTTATAATCACATCCTCAGCACTCCTTATCACCCGCAAACCAATGGCGTTGTGGAGCGCTTTAATGCATCGATGGTGGTTCAAATATCAAAACTTCAACAGAAACACCACAACAACTGGGACGATTACCTGGATGCCGTTGTTTTTGCGTACAATAGTTCCAAACATAAAACAACACAATACTCTCCATTCGAACTGCTTTTTGGTCGATGTCCAACACTTCCCATTGATTCGCCTCCGCAGTATTTCCAATTTGATCGTCCTAACAACTATTTCGTACATCTGCAGAAAATTCTTCAAATTTATCATCAGCAAGCAAAATTGAACATTATGAACCAACAACGTTACCATAAAAAATATTATGATCAAAATCGCCGGGATCCTCATTACATTGTAGGTGATCGTGTTTTCACAAAAATTTTCGCTGCTCGGGGAAAGTTGGATCCACGATACTCTGCCGAGCCAAAAATTATCGTTCAAACTTCTCATCCCACATATACTGTAAGGCATGAAGCAACTGGTCTTGAACATCGATATCATGTCTCTGACCTACGACCCGTCACCTTAGCCTACGTCGACAATGAGTCTACTTAAATTCATTTTTTCTCCAACTATACCATCATTTACCACCAATTTTACTTGATATCACTTCACTTAACCGTTTATCAATTGGTTTTTTCAATTTTCAATAGTTGACATGGCTCTTCATGTTACTTAATCAGAATTCGCTTACGGTTATCATCGTACCTCTATTATCATTAGACATGCAATATGTTTTATTATTAATTCATTATCTACTTGGTGAGGTATACTACTACTCAGGAATCAGGCGTACATTTTAATTCCATTCTTTTTTCTTTTTCTCGTTTATCTTTTTCTTCGCCTATTTCTCATTCCTCACATTCTTCTATCTTCTTTTGAATATTATATACTTCTTATTTCTACCGCTCTCTCTTCATTTTTATGGTATTCGCTTCAACTAGCATTGTTCCGTGTTTCTCTTGTCTTTATCATCACTCGTGTTGCGTGTTGGTAATGGCGTTTAGTCTATTGTTTATCATTAGCGTAAGTGTTACTCTTGCCACTCTTCCATCTTTATCCAGTGGTGGTTTACAATCTTGGTTCTGCGGAACTTGTACGGTGTGTCACCCATGTCCGGCCTGTGAACCGCATTTAAACATTTCTCCCAAATGTGAATGTAAGGAGAATTTAAACAACTGCAATTGTAACTGTATTACGCATCAGAACTTTAAAGACTATCATACCTCGTGGAATCTTCCACAAGGGTCCAGTCAACATAACATACACGCTGCTCAAATGAATAGTAACAATCTCAAGCGTCATTTACTTGGTTGGATCATCGGATTATCGTTTTGTAATATTTTTTTATTGCTCCTTATCGTGATCCTCAGTTTGTTTGCACCTGCATTGTTACGTCGTTACACCACCTGGCATTCCACAACGAAGCTTAAACGACGGACCCGCCTTATCAACAAGTTTAATCTGGTCGAACGTTCCGCACTTTCAACAGTCCAACCGTCTTACGACGACCTTTTAAAACAATTACACGAACAGAAACAACAGCTGGATCAACTTACACGTGATTTACCAACTTCGCACACGTCATCACTTAGTCCTTCCAAAGTTTTTTAATTTACGTTTTCGTTTGATGAACTACGTCTTTCTAAAGCTTCTTGGGGAGGGGGAGGTGTAAGCGACTTCTCGCTTCTCTTGAGTGATATGTCGTTTAGATACCATTTATCTCCATTCCATTCCTCCTTACATAGTTATGCATGTTTGTATCTTCTCTTGTTCTGGGAGAGGAGGATGAGACGAGAGAGATATGTTTTTTCTCTTCTTTTCTTTTCGTTTTTCGTTTTGTTGTTTGTTCGTTGCTCTCGCTGAAAGAGAAAAGGTGTTTGTTTTTTCTTTTTTTGGAAAATAAAGCTCACATCATCGGTCACGTAATGTAATGCATATCATCATCTCACTTGATAATGTTGAAAAATATTGAAATCACATAGCTAAATCATTACATTTTCTTCTTTCTTTTCCTGCCTACACTGTTGACACACGTCGCACTTTCGCACCAATATAAGAATACACTATAATCATGCTGATTCACTGGATTAGATTGTATTTTATGACAGAATAAGAAAAAAAAGCTCGGGCATGGTATATCAGTATTGACTCCTCTCTCCGTGTGTTGGTACGAGCACATTAGAAGTAAACTTTTGCCTCTATAACTGCATTTTTTTCCGTTTCTGTTAATAACAGCAATAACAAGCAAAACACGCTTGACATTATCAAGAAAAACACAACACATTGCTGACATGTCACTATTGAAAAGTATAACTGTTTTTGAAGATCTTTCAAGTGAACTATTTTTTGAAATATTTGATTTTTTCTCCTTTATTGAATTACACAATACGTTCGGTCATTTAAATCGACGAATCGATGATTATTTATCTCAATTTCCAAATATATATTTAAATATATCACCAGAAAAAAATACACTGAACACAAAATTAAATGAACGGCAGTTATTACTTGTGAAATCAATACGATTTCAAAGTTTCCTGAGAAAGGATCCAGATGAGGTGCATAAGTTTTTCATTCAGTATCCGTTAAAATTATTCCAGCAATTACGATCGTTATGGATAGAAGAAATTATATCAACTACAGAGATTCCTATTATTATTGACCAATTGCCTCTTTTACCCAATTTGACACGATTAATTATCAGGTTTAATTTATTTCAGAAGAAATTAAGTAAGGATGATTTTCAATATGCAAAGGAAATAATATTTCGTTCTTGTGTTAAATTAAAAACATTAAAATTCACTATAATGGATCATCTTCATCCTTGTAAAAGAATACATAACGCGCCGCTATTCAATCAACCGATAACAAATAACATTGAACATTTGGATGTTTATAAACTCTATTTCGATGAATTCAACTATATTTTATCACCCTTATTCTTCCCTCAATTAAAATCATTACACGCAACAATTTATGATAATCCGAAACAAAAAGATTTTCCTAACGAGAGATTTTCACTCGATTTTTTAGTTTATCTTTCATTAGATTTTAATTGGTACGTCACATTTACTCACCTTGAATCAATATTTAAACGAACACCGAACTTAAAAACATTTGTTCTCTCATGTTCTCCAGTTATTTTGATCGATTGTCAAAAATGGCAGTGTATTTATTATCGAAATATTTATCAAAACTTGTAAAATTTCATGTACATGCATGTGATTGGGAAGAGAGAGGATGGTCCAAAACAAATGAATATATGAACTTTTTAACATCGACATATTGGTTCGAAGAACGGGGAGGTATCATCCAGACAAATTATAAACAAGTATTGGATGAACTAGGCAATGAGATCGATTCCATATTTGTTCATTTTACAACAATGACATTTAAAAGTTGGAAAAAACAATGTTCATATTGTTACCGTTATTAGACGAGAAAATAAGTTCTGCTTTCTGCTTCTACTGAATAAAAACAGTTTTCTTTCTTTTTCCCGAGAATATTAGATAATCCAAAAGAATCATGATTTTCTCATAGAAAATAAAACATATTGAACATGAATGTATCCTGTATTTGTAAAAATCAAAATAAAATTAATTCTATCCAGTTCACTGATTTAAGATTAGTATTACATGTCTCTATCTTTACTTCATTCATTACGAGGTTCATCTAAAGAAAATTGCAGCAGATTACAATGAGATTGATCATCTACTGTTATATATTCTCTCAATCAAACGTAGTCATTTTCACGAAGACTATTAGATTCCTAAAATTATTATTTCTTTTGTATTTAGTCTCACCAACCTTCTATTTTACTTTATTTGCTTCTAGTGTGTCAATTCTAAAGTCCTCAATAATCAATGAATAACTTGAGATATAGACGTAACTTTGCTGTTTACTTACACTGACATTCAACGGGCATACCCACACTCACACCTCTTTAGCAACATATATTATTCTATTATCTCTCAATGATATTTTTCAACTGATCAACATTATCCGTTTTCTCAATCCCCGTAAATTCTTTGTTCAGCTACTTGGTAGAAAATAAAAGAAATGTCCGACTAAAAGTTAAATAAAACACATTGTTTATTGAGTCATAGTGTAATCAGATTTCTCAGCCTCATGTCCTATTGTATTAACAATAACAATAGCGAATGTGTTACTTTTTTCCTAAATTTATGCGATGACTTTTCAAAATAATTTATCTTAATTTCCTTTTTGATTATTCAATTAATCGATCTCGTTCAAATCATTTTTCATTATACATCGATATTACAAAAAATAAATGCGAAAACCTCGGATTTAAATCCGAGTGTTATGTGTACTTCAAAAAGTGAAAAGGTACATTCACTGTGCTTTTTATCACGAAATTGCAAGGAGAAAATACAGACGTGCTAAGTTAGCATGGATCATACTGTATGCGATCCTATCCGGTGACCACTGACTCTACTCTCAGACTTATAGAATNAGCACCGGCATTTATCGTTCCTCGAAAAGACAATCGTCCGGGCCGTCTCGTTGTGGATTATAGGGCGGTAAATAAAATTACTATTCCAGATGCTAGTCCTTTACCTCACGCCGAAGATTTATTGCACGAACTTGGCAAGGGGTACAAATATTTTAGTCGCCTTGATCTGAAATCCGGTTATCACCAGTTTCGTCTACCACCCGCTGATCGTCCAAAAACAGCGTTCGTCGTTTCTCAAGGTCATTATGAATTTCGTGTACTTTCCATGGGACCACAAAATGCGCCTGCGGCATTTCAAAAAATTATGTACAAGGTGATGAAGCCATGTCGCGCGTTCTGTCATGTCTTCCTCGATGATATCATCATTTGTTCCAACTCATTCGATGAACATATCAATCATTTAAAATTGGCTTTTGAAACGCTTGCCACAGAAAAACTTGTTCTCAACGCTTCGAAATGCGAACTTGCTGTACAACGTGTTGTCGTCCTCGGTCATACTGTCTCGGATACGTCTATCGCACCAACCACTGATGCAATCCAGGCCATTTTGGATTTAAAAGAACCTCGCACACTTAAAGAGACCAACAAATTTCTTGGTGGTATGGCGTATTATAGAAAATTTGTTCCTAATTTTAGCACTATCGCTGCTCCGCTACATAAAATCTCTAATTTAACCAAAGACCGACGGCATCTTTTTAAATGGACAGTGGAACAGTCGAATGCTTTCCATGCTCTCAAGCGTTTACTTACAACTGCTCCACTTCTTCTTCATTTTCCCGTCGACGGTTTTCCCCTTCACTTAGCTACTGATGCTAGCGGTACTGCCACTGGTGGTGTTTTATTTCAAGATGTCAACGGTCAACGTCATAATCTCTTTTATCACTCAAAAGTTCTTTCACCAATTGAACAAAAATACTCGGTTCCCGAAAAAGAAGCTTTGGCAATTTACAATTGTTTACAACGTATGAGGACTTTAATTCTAGGACGAACTGTTTATATCCATACTGATCATTGCCCCATATGTGGTATGTTACAAAAACCAGTGAACAATCGGCGCATTGAACGTGTGGCCAATTTAATTCAAGAATATCGTATTGCCGAAATGAAACATATTGATGGTAAAAGTAATTGTCTTGCGGATTATCTTTCTAGGCCTTCTGATGATCCACTCTTTGATGTTGATTATGGTCTCGACAGCAAACTTCCATGGTCAAACTCATCAAATTTAACCAATCCTTGCCAGCCTTCACAGAACATCATTACTACAATGACACTTCGTCCTCGACAGAAATTTCTTTCCCCAGGTGTATCTATTTTCAATCAAGACGATGAAGATTTTGATGCGGCATCTTGTACTTCTGAAAATTCGTTTACCACTCATTCACCAATTATTACATCAACTCCCTCTCCGAATGTTTTCGATTCAAGCCAATTGTCTCATGAACAAGCTCAAGATCCAGATATTCGTCGTATCATTTCTCAATTAAATCGCAGCAGCCATCCTGATTCCACCTTATCTTCTTCGTTTATTATCAAAAATGGTATTCTTAACAAACTTATTACTCTGACTCCTTCATCTAGACGCCGATTATCCGTACCTTATCTTCCTTCGTCGATGATACGATCTTTTCTTACTGCAATGCATGATGATCCTTTCCAAGGTGGTCATTTTTCATTCGACAAAATGATGTCGAAAATACGTACTCGTTATTGGTGGCCTCACATGAAGCACGACGTTCATCGTCATGTTCAAGCATGTGTTCCTTGTAACCAATATAATTATTCGCGTCAAAAGAAACCTGGTCATCTTCAACCCATTCCTCCGATCGCTATTCCGTTTTCTATAATTGGAATGGATTTTTGTGGCCCGTTCCTTGAATCACCTCGTGACAATAAATACGTCCTGGTCGTAACTGATCTATTTACGCATTTCGTTACTGCTATTCCTTTACCCACCAACACTGCTGAAATTACTGCATTATCCTTATTTCGTCACATATTCTGTCGATTTGGCGTTTGTTCCACTTTAATTACAGATCAAGGAACTCATTTTAATAACAATCTTATGAGAGCATTCCAACATCTCCTTGGTTATAATCACATCCTCAGCACTCCTTATCACCCGCAAACCAATGG